TCAAGTTGACAAGGTTGAGAAACACTGTCCTAACCACTGCTGGGGAATTCTGGGAGTTGAAGTCCGGACATCTTCAAGTTGACAAGGTTGAGAAACACTGTCCTAACCACTGCTGGGGAATTCTGGGAGTTGAAGTCCGGACATCTTCAAGTTGACAAGGTTGAGAAACACTGTCCTAACCACTGCTGGGGAATCCTGGGAGTTGAAGTCCGGACATCTTCAAGTTGCCAAGGTTGAAAAACACTGCTCTAACCCACTCACTAAGCTTTTATTTCAAATTTCAACGGTTCAAATTTACAAAGATGGGCCAATCAGAGGAGACTTTTACTTTATTTTGTATATTTACTTTATTATATATTATTTTTACAAACAACTCAAAAGGTGATGAACATATCTAGTATTCCTCCTATTTTTGGAGTGGTTTTAAGTTGCAAAAGTTGGGAAGAGCCCTCGCAGTGAGATTTGCAAAGAGGGCATAGCAGGTCCCATCAAGTCAAGCTTAACTGTGGTTTATTCCACAATGTAGGCTTAAGGCATGGCTAGAACAGGCCACCATCTGGCCATGATAGCCCTGAGTCACAAGAGAGGCGGAGCCACAATGCACCGCGCTCCCATTCAATCGCTCCTCAGCCCGCCATCCGCTCCCGAAGATTCTGATTGGCTCTCAGCGGGAGCGCGCGTGGAGGGAGGAGACGAGGCAGCGAAGGAGGGGCGGGCCAACCGAGCAACTTCTCAGTTGGCAAGTAGAGACAGCCAATCCTCGGCGGCCGCCCCGCCCCGCTTCTCCTCCCATTGGCTTTCTCGTTCTACCTGGGCCCGGCTACGGACCGGAGCTTCGTGATTGGCTGCTTGATTCCAAGGGAAGGACAGGCCGCGGGGGTGTGGTAGTAGTCGAGGATTGGTTGGAGGCCCTCACCTGGAGAGCTCCCCGATTGGCCGAGTGGGCCAAGCAGGCACGCCCATTGGCCGCCCCGCCCTGTGTGTGCCGGCCGATTGGCTGTGGCCGGCCGGCCCGGTATCCGGGTAAGATGGCCGCAGTCGGAGAGTGCTCGGTCCCCGTTCCGTGGAAATCGGTGTCTCTCACGCACGTCGAGTACCCGGCAGGTAAAAAGCGCTCTTTCTTCTTCGCGCGGGGGCCTTTTAACTTCAGCCGGGCCTGAGGGGACATGAGGCAGGAGCTGCCAAATAGTGAGCCGCTGATGAGCGGCGGACGGGCGCGCATGCGTATTGGGACGGCGACGCTGCTGCTAGCAGATAGGGAGCCGCTGGTTGCCGTAGTGCGCATGCGCGGTGCCTCCTGGGCTTTGATAGTAGTACACAGCCTGGAAATTGGGGCGGGGGCGCTTTTCTTCCTCCCCCTCCCTCCATTGCAACTGCTTCCCGGGTCTTTTGCAAGCCGCCCTCTCCTCCTATCAGTTGTGGGGAAGGGGCGCTTGCTTGAGTCAGGGCTGTGCCCCCCCATCCCCCAGGACAGATCACCCAGTTTTGCACACTTTTGCAATTGATGGTGCATGGCGCCCCAGCCAGGGATTGGCATGGTGGAGCCCTCCCTTTTGTCCAAGCAAGGAGCGGCTTCTTTGCACTACAACCTTTATTTATTTATATCGAAAAACGAACTAGCACTCATGCATCATCACAAAAATCTCCAGGACCGTAAAACCTGCAAACTTGAAATTTGGCACCTATAATTCCTCTTGGTGCTCGCTTAGAAAGGATTTTTCGAAATGAATAATCAGATCATTAGCATTTCTTATAGTATTATTAACACGCTCTGATGCTAAGGATTTAGACGCTCTATTCCTCTCCCCACTTGAAAAAACGCTCGGATTGCTAAGGAGTTAGACTGATGGGAGAGAAGGGGATAAGATAGAAGAGGCCTCTGTGGGGGAAGCCTGAGGGGGAGAAGGGGAGAGGAAAGGTCGATCGTAACTACTCATTTATTTTCAAGCTGTAAGCGCCGATTTATCAAGCCCGATCACATAGGAGCCATGGGTATTCAGCTGGTTTTAAATATGTCCAGTTTGAAAGTTTTAAATACTAGCACCAAGGACCCTCATTTCGACCCTGAGCTAGAAATATTCTCATTTATTTGTAAATAATGGCTTTCATGCCCAGAGTTGGTTTCTAAGATGGACAGCTAGGTGAACGCTTTAAATATTTTTTTAAAAAACCAAAGCGTATTTCTCCCTTTCCTCCAGGACTCAAAAGTTGGATTCCCCTATTCACCTTCCTCCAATTATTTTTTTGTTCCACACCAGCCCTGTGAAGTTGTGTTAAAAGAGCAGGGAGTTCCTCCCCCTGCCCCCCCTCAAAATTGCCAGCCAGGGCTCAAGGCTGAGATGGATTTGCGGCCGGGACTTTGCTGTCCTGGCCAAGCATCTCAACTACGATCCCCAATCTCCTTTAATACGTGGTGTAATTGATGATCTGTTTCCTTTGCCAAACACGCCTAGCTGCCTTTGCACAATCCTTTCTTAAAACCCAGTGACTTTGCACACCTGATCTGCTATGCCAGGCAGTAAATTCTGGGCTGTGATGTCCATCCGGCTCCCTACAAAGTGCTAAGAAATGGATATTTAGTGCTAAGACAGGGCTGATTCCTCAACCCAACCCAAGCTTTTTAAGCAATCAGACTGACAAAGCTTGAAAAATGACCCTGGTTTGGTTGCGTGTTTATTTAAGCCTGTTAAAGTGCAGGTAATAGAAACAATGCCAAATTCATTGGAATCCTCCTTTTTTTAAAAAAGACTCTTTGCTCAAGACAAGAAAGAATGGCCGAATCGATTCAACACCTTGGGCCACAAAGTAGCCTGCTCAGTTCACACTTCCATGGTACCATTAATACCCCAAAAGTGTTTTTCCAAAAGACTTGGGAGTTTTCCTTGAAAAAAATGCTGCATTTTGGATGAGAAGCAAAAAGTTTCAAGGAAAAAATGCCCGAGAAAATCCAAGGAGCCTTTTGGAAAAGCACTTTCGGGACAACCATGACCTGGATCAGGGATCAGCCACCTGTGGCTCTGGAGCCGCATGTGACTCTGCTGCGGCTCCCTGTCGCTCAGAATAGGCGCCACAACCGACAATGTGTGATATCAGCCGGCACACGGCTTATTGAGCTTTTTGACCCCTGGTAGGCCAACTATGGATAAAGCCAAGAAAATAAAAGTTTCAGAAGAAAGCAAGACGTTTAATTCTGTCACCGCTCAGGAAATAGTCAGGTGCGGGAAGGGTTTTCTTTTTGGGGGGGAAATGGGTCCAAATGTCTCCTTGAGTGTTGATCTGGATGATTGAGAATCTCCACAGATACTTGGAATCAAATCCCTTCAGTAAACCAAGGTTGAGCCCACCGATAGACTCATCAGTGATAAGTTTATCAGTGTTAAGCCAGGAGCTTCTTCTGGTCATCTTTCACGCGTAAATGGACATTGACTTCTAACCTGTTGCCCAACCTGGCCTATTTTACACAGATGGGATTAGCCCTGGCATTCCTCTCACTGTGCCCGCCACACAGCACCCTTGTCTCCTCTCTCTCTCTCTCGGGAATTCCTGACGGTTTCCGTGCCTTCATTAATCCGTATTTGGTGTCGCGATGTTGGATTCAGGTTGGTTTCTGCTACCGGCTTTTATCTTATCAGTAGCAGAGCAAAGTCTGAAATCTGGAGTGTAGGGGGGGTTACAACACAGCCAGCCCCCCCCAGGTTTTGCTTCTCCCAATTTAGCTTTAAGTTTTATTTGAGAGGAGGCCAGATTTTGATCAAAGCGGCAGAAGAGAGGGGCAGGGAGAACTCGCATCGCTGGCAACCTGCTTTATATAACTGAAGTTTTCAAAAATATATCTCTCCCCTTCCTTGAGATATTAGCCCGTCGGGAAAGAGGTTTTTTTTTTTCGTAACAGGGTGTGGCGTTTCCGAGCAGAGCCCACGATTTGGCATCCTTCGAGGTTTTTCTCCTTCCGAGGCACTCAGTCCTGTGGATGATAGGCAGATTGTAGCTATAAAGCACATGTATTATTTATCTCCTCTGGTATTCAGCTGCCTCCACTCCTCTTTCCTGAATGATGCTGGGTTACTTAATGCCTGCAAGCTGGGTAGAGTCACTGGCTGTGTGCGTGTGTGTGCGTGTCTCAAGTAACATTAGTTGGTATTGTTTTGAGCTTGATGTAGAGATGGAGTTTTTAAGTGCCTCGCCAGGCAGGATACAGCCGTTCTACAGACCCTGACTAGCTTGGCTTAAAACAAGCAGATTTGTCCCTGGTGCTCCCTGAGCTTGGTGGTTTTCTTGCAGATGTTTCATTACCCAAGTAGGTAACGTCATCAGTGCTAGAAGAGAGTGGGTTTGTGGAGAGGAGGAGGAGGAGGAGGAGTATGGGGTGATTGGTGCTCTCTAAGCCTAGCCATTTTCTTGCAGACATTTAATAACTCATTAGGGACGGCGGTGGCTCACTGGCCTAAGACGCTGAGCTTGTCGATCAGAAAGGTCGGCAGTTCGAATCCCTAGCGCCGCGTAACGGAGGGAGCTCCCGTGACTTGTCCCAGCTTCTGCCAACCGAGCAGTTCGAAAGCACGGAAAAAATGCAAGTAGGAAAATAGGAACCATCTTTGGTGGGAAGGGAACAGCGTTCCGAGAGCCTTCGGCGTTGAGTCATGCCGGCCACATGACCCCAGAGACGTCTTTGGACAGCGCCGGCTCTGTGGCTTTGAAACAGAGATGAGCACTGCCCCCTAGAGTCGGGAACGACTGGCACGTCTGTGCGAGGGGAACCTTTACCTTTAACTTACCCCTCTAACAGCCTTGTGGGTTCTTAGGATTATACAGATTG